TTTTTATAATAATTTTATTATAAAAGTAAAATTCCTCGATCAAGTTAGATAGATCCCTGGTAATTGGAAAAGAAACAGTCAAAACTGTGCATTTGTTTATGTTCATTCAAGTTGATAATTGTAGCTCATTAGCTCAGTAGTTCAATATAAAAATCTTATCAGATTGCCTTAAGTGAAGCCATTAGATTATGTCAGGTCTGCTTACTTTATAATTTAATTATGTCTTCTTCATGTCAGTTAAAGCCAGCAACTTGTAAATGAGAAAAGGAAAGACATTGACATATCATGCAGGACAGTTTATGTCTAGGAGGGGTTAAGTACTCAGCAAAAAATATATAATGTGTATTTTTTTTAAAACTGAAGTAGAATATTTTCTTGTTTTCCATGGTATTGGGAATCGATGTTCTTGTGAGTTAGGAAAGAATAGCTTACTTGCCATTTATTAAAAATTAATAAAAATTCAAGTCTTTTATTTTTACTTTTAAAATTGGATTCAGAAATAGTTCCATGAATTATGTACTAATTTGATTTGTATCTCAGAGGCTTTCATCTAATTCCATTAACAACTATTAGTTGTTGAATTTATTTGTTTGTTTTAATTCTTGTGGAACAAAAATATCAAGCATCTTTTCTAAGATCTGCTGTTTGAGTTGACATGTTTATGTCAAAGGGTCATTATGATCATTAAAGTATTTCTTTTAGATGTTACCTTTTTTATGAAACCAACTGAAAAATCAATTTGTTCTTTAAAAGGAATTTAAAGAGGGAACAGACTAGTACTTAATAATTTATTTTTTCCCTTCCCTTTTAGGTATAGCAGATTCTGTTTCTTCTGTATTCGTGTGATATGCTGGACATATCAAGACAAGGTTACAAGCATTGACTGTTTTACTATAAATTGTAATGCTATCCTTAATTCTCAAGCATCATTTTACCTTTATGCTTCAACCACAGGCAACAGAAGGTTCTAGGGCCCAGTAATAGTTCTCTCTTATAGAAGGATGGGTAACTGAAATCAGCAGGAATAACACCAGCACCTGAGACCTGACAGGAAATCTATCAGACAGTTCACCACCACTCTGGTTCAGTTAGCAAACAGCTTAGATCCTCTGAACTTGAAAATAATTGGTTATTTTGTTTGATTCTTTATTTGCTTTTTTGTTGTTTTGGTTATTTTTTTGTGGTTGGGTTGTTTTTTGTTTTGTTTTGTTTTCTTTGTCTTTGCTGAGAAACTTTAGATAAATATTTTTATATGTATAATTCCAGCTAATTGCTTTAGCTTAACTATGCACAATAATAGTCGACCTGAAATTGTGTGTGTGTCTAAGGGATGCTCTGTTGGCCTGGTCCACAGGGAGTTGTACTGGTAACTCAAAGGCCACACACCTCTCTGGTGGTTCAAATCCACAATGGCTTCTCAGGAGAAAGATGAATTATCTCCTCTCATGCATCCTTAGAAGCTCAAAGGAGGATCAGCTTTGAGTCGATTTCACAGCAATGGCAATGAGTTTGAATTTTTGGCCTAATAATTGTATTAGTGTCTACAAGATGGAATATTGTGAGGAATTTGAACTTTGCCTTTGTACAGGCAAATGCTGATTACTCTTTGAAATTATAGAGATTATGTGGAAGGAAATAATAGAGTAAATGACTTCTTAGGAAAGGCAAACTGTTTGAATGACCAATAAGGCAACCACTCAATGTGGAACTCGAATTAGCCTTACTAGGAAGACAAAGTTGTTTTGAAATTTCATTGTCTGTAGGAATTCTTTGGAAATTTTTGTCAGCAGGAATAGATTTCTCTTTAACTGTGTTTTTTCCTTGTGATTAGAAAACATTTTTCCACATTTCCTTCACCTTTCTTTATCTACTCTTCACTGCATAATTTCTAAATTTTCTTGATGATTTGATGTCCATGACTAAAGAACATAACTTTCTTTTCTGTCTTCTAACCTTTTATTTCGAGAGTTTTAAGAGGTTCCCTTACCTCTAAGTCTTTATCAAACACTAACAGTCTATATGCTCCATCATTGGTCTTTTGACACAACTTCTTGTAAGATCCAAGGAGTCCTGTTGGTGCAGTGGTGAAAGTGCTCATTGATTAACCAGAAGGTCAATGGTTTGAACCCACAAGGTTCTTCACAGGAGAGGGAGAAGGCAGAGTGTTTCCATAAGGAGTTACAGGCTTGGAAACTCCATGGGACAGATCAATTCTGTTTTATAATCATTATGAGTCAAAAGTTTACTTTGGTCTTTTAAGATACAATCTCTTTACCTGACTGAGACCCATTACCCAGTAAAACAAGTTATACTACAGTTTAGTTGTGTTCCTTTACTAATTTATAGTTAACGATTTTGCTGGGAATTTTGTATATAAACTAGTGGGTATGTACTGTGCCTACTTCCTTTATACCTTGCTTATATCCTTGGCTGAATATCAGTCCAAATATGAAATCTCTCACATCCTAATTATTTCTTTAACTTTAATCTGACACTTGATTCTTGATGCTTGTGTTACTTCTTGCCTTGTTAATTTCTTAATAGATTTCCAATTGCTAAGACACTGTTGTTAATTATCTTGCATTTTCTGCCATGATAGATGACTAAGAGTGTCTAAGGAGCCCCTTGTGCTGTTTTTGCTGGGGAACTAGGAAACAAGCTGTTTCACATGTGACAAAGCAAACGAGTTACTATAAAAGAATCATGTCCACTATGCATATATTCCTCTAAAATTCATGTTTGTTGTTTAACATAGGCAGTCTTATCAGAAATGAAAATTTGTATTAATAGTCACTTGAAATTTTCCAGAATTTTCTAGTTTTTCTCTCATTCTCAACAACTCATTGCTGTCAATACCAACTCATAGGTGACCCTCCAGCATGTTTAGAAGGCTAAAATTGCATGGGGGAAGATTGCCCATCTTTCTCCCTTTGAGCAGCTTGGGGATTCAAATTGCTGGCCTTTGAGTTGGCAGCACAACCCTTATGCATTAGGCTACCAGGGTTGGTTTTTTTGTTTTTTGTTTTGTTGGGTGTTTTTTATTTTGGTGTTTTTTTATTTTTGTTTTTTTAATGCTTCATTTAGTAGCAAAAGGAGCCCTGTTGGCACAGTAGTTAAAGAATTTGATTACTAACAAGAATGTCAGGGGTTGGAAACCATCAGCTGTTTCAGGGGAGGAAGGTGAATCATCAGCCTGCTTCTCTAAAGATCTGTAGCCTTAGAAAACTGGGGAGCATTTCTCTGCCCTGCAGGGTCACTCTCCGTGAGAATCAACTAGATCATGTTGCATTTTGTTTTGTTGTTTTAATAGTAAAAAAAAAAACTGAAGACAAATCAAGGTCTTTTTTTCCTTATAGCAACCAAAAAGAATCTCAAAAGAAGATATGTTAACTTAGTATTAAACATGCACCAGAAAGACAAGTATTTGTTTTAATAAGTAAATACTTTAATTTTTCAAATAGGCCAGGAAACAAATATGCCTTGGGTGTCATTTCTGATGGCTAAATGTTAATTATTTCACATTAAGTCCTGTGTTTGCATATGGACTTTTCTGAATGATATAAATGCTTTTGTAATCTTTTTTAAAATATTAAAGGAAGGATTAATTCCTCTCAGCTATCCCAGATGTTGATGACATCTGTAATAAAATTTATCCTGGAGTTAAAGAGCATCTGTACATAGTGTGTGGCTCATATTTTGTGAATCCTATGCTAATGTGCTTTCTATTCACATGATACATTTGTATTCATAGCTCCCAATCCAAAGATCAAATTTTTATTTTCTTCACAGACACCTTAAGTATTATTATCCATTATCTTCTCCCACATTCCTGCCAAGGAAGGGGCAGGGAGAATTTCATAACTCTCCATTTTGGTTTTTAACAGCATGTTGTTGTTGTTATATGCTGTCAAGTGGCTTGTGACTCTTAGCAACCCTAGGTACAGCAGCTCTAAACCCTGCTCTATCATGAGCTAACCATACTGTCTTGAACAACCTACCCCCATTACCCCAGTCATTGAGTCAATCTATCTCATCAAGGATCTTCCCCTCCTGTACCATCCCTCTACCCTCCCAAGCATAATGTCCCTCTCCAAGGACTTGTCCTTCCTTTCAACATGCCCAAAGTATGTCAGACAGAACCTCAGAATCCTTGTCTCCAAAGAGCAGCCTGGTTTCTTAGAAGTCCATGGTATATTGAAGACTCTTCTCCAGCACCACAGCCCTAAGACATTAATTCTCCTTCTATCATCCTTAGTCATTGTCCAGCTCTCTGATGCATAGCATGTAATTGCAAAGACCATGGCCTGTATCAGGTGCACCTTAGTCTCCTGACTGACGTCGTTGCTCTTCAGTACTCTGAAGATATCCTGGACAGCAGACTTTCCCAATGCAATTCGTCTTTTGATTTCCTTGTTGCCGGTACCAAGAGTGTTGATTGTGGAGCCAAGCAAACTGAAGCTGTTAACAATTTCAATCTCAATCTCTTCATTGCCCATCCTTCCCCAGTGGGGCAGCTGGTGGCCTTGAAACCACATGCCTTCAGGATTGCAGTGCAGCTTCTTCCCACTGGGCCACCAGAGCTCTTGAGAAGCCTATTAGAGATGAAAATTTTCAAGCTTCCTCGGACCTATTGAGTCAGAAGTTGTTTCAAAAAGCCTTCCAGACACTTCTGAAGAATGCTCTTATAATTTATCTACCATAATTTACAGTCCTAAACAACAATGTTATCATAGTATTTCCCCATTTTAAACCATTCAGGGTCTCTGCATTGATTCTAATACACAAAATCCTACAGTATCATTCATACAGAAACTCCTCATTATTTTCTCAACGTAACTGCTTCTCAATTGCTACTGTTCCAATTGGTGTTTCCTGTACTTTGTCCATTACAAAAGATTCTTTGGTTTAAGCTGAACTTGTAAGTGAAAGGCTGAGCATGCAGACTTGAGAAGAAAGTTCTGAAAATTTTCTTTCATAAAATAAAAAATTAAATGGGTGGAGGGGAACACTATAGAACTTGGTTCTGGGCTAAAACATGAGGCTATGATGTTAGAAATTACTTTTTAGTAGTTTTTGTTTCGCTTGAGAGCTATAAAAAACAGCTACATTTACCGAATGGTAAGATTAAAAAAACAAAACCACAAACCAATGATGTCATAAAAAAACACACCAAACTAATGTTGCATTTGCATTCAAAGTGAAAATCAGCAATACCTTCCTGGATGTTTTTCACAAGCATCCCAAAGTTAATGTTGTCATCTCTTAAACTTCTGAGCTCTTAGACTCATGGCAACCTGACATAAAAAGAATCAATGTGCTTCCAACAAAGACCTGGTTCTAATCCACCAGCTGCTCCACAGGAGAAGGACGGGTACTCTCCCTTGTGGTTTATGCCTCTGAAAACCTGCTGCTAGGTCAACTATGAGTTGGTTCCAACTTGAGGGTGCATATGACAAAAAAGATCATCTTTATGATCATTTACATGAAAAAAAGATAATTGGAAGACTAAAAATTTTTCAATGCCACTAACAATCAGCTGCTCCCTGTGTTAATCGCTCAGTTTAAGTCAAAGTTAATGTGTGTGTGTTAGCATTACTTTGATGATATTATGTAGTGTGATTACAAAAGAAACTAGTGTTTATGAATGTCAAAGCAGGGCTAGAAATAAGGAAAATTAAAAGTCATTTTTATTGAGTTTATATGATTTTAATGACTCTTAGTCTATCATTTTTTATTAAAAAGGAATCAGGATATTCTTCAGTGGTGTTAAGTTTCATATTCTCTTAAAAGAACCCTTCCACTTGGTAAGAACTGCTATCCATCCCTCCGTCAATCATATTGTACATATTATCTCCTTCAAGATCACAAAATTGAGATTAGAGAAAAGAGCCCTATTTCTCTTTTATTTGTCTAAATGTACTAGAGGCTGTGACAAACAAGATAAAGAAAATTCTTAGTGTGTCCCAGGGCCACAGTATTCCAGGAACTAGATCCAGTCCCTGTGACTTCAGAGTTCCCCGGCCTCACTTAAGGCTTATTGTATAATGTGTCTGTTGAACATGAGCTACTCCTCAAGTGTTCAGTAAGCATTCCCAAGGCAAGCTCTTGGCCAGTGAACATCAAAAGTTCTTACAGATGGTTAGGAACTTGTTGATTCCCTTGGTCCTTGGTCTTTGTTGGCTCAGGGAAGAATAGCTCTCCTGCCAACCAGCTGCTTCAGGAGAGGAGACACAGGTACCTGGCATAGATATAAGCAATTAGCCCACATTGGTAACTGTACTAGGGAATTGAACACTTCCCAGGCCCTTTATCTAAATGGGTGGAAGCAGCTCCCCACTTGGGAGATGAGTGAAATGTATGTAGCTTAGATGTTAGCAACTACATAGAATTGGGAGCTGCACTTTCAGAAACTTATGGCTTCCCTGGGCCTCTGCTTGTTTGCTTAGGTGAGAATAGCTTCCTCCAAACCAATATCAGGAATAGGGGCAGAATATGCCCATTGGCAACTACTGAGACATAGGGGATGCACTGTTGGGAACTTGCAGCATTCCTGGGCTTTTCCTCTGACTCATACATCCCAGGGAGCACTCCTAGGACTTTGTCTACCCCTGGGCAAAACTATCCCCTTTATCAAAATAAAGGACAGGACAGAGAAGTGGGCCCAACAAAGCTGGGCAAAGGGAGAAACTACACCTCTCTACCCCTCAAAAAACAATAGAATGAGAAGTTTGCCACAGGAAATAGGGAGCAGAGCCACCTATAAGTGACCGGTAGGGAAGACTCAATGAGGAAACTCAATCAGAGACATCGCTTGGAATCTTGAACTTAACACTAACATCATAAAGAACTGTCAACAACACATGCAGGCACAAGAGAAGTTGCTTCACATACACCAAGAGGAATTTCACATAATGTTAGTTGAGCAGCTGACAACTTCAAAGATTATTTTAAAAAACAAAGCAAGTCTTCCTCTGAAAAAGCAAAATAAAATAATTCCCCAGAAACAGGAAGGAAGAAGAAATTAATTGAGATGGAGTTGCATGAACTGGTACTGAAGAAGTTACAAATTAGGGGAAAAAAGAGTTGAAACCAAAAATAAAGAAGTAAAATATTTTCATCACAGAGCACACCAACACATTAGTAGAAACAATGGAAATGCATGAAAATCCAATCCAGAATATCAATATCAAAATAGCAACAATTTTCAACATGCTGCAGGGTTAACAAATCAGAATAGAAGGAAAAGAGAATCTGAGAGCTAGAAGACAACAACTTCAATGAGAACTTACTAGAAGTAAAAACAGAGAATATGGGAGGAAAATGAAGAAACCATTAGAATCATGCAGAATAACATCAACTAGAACAATATATGTATAATCAGAATTCCAGAAGGGAAGGGGTGTGTGGGGGGTGGGGTTACTGGGAAAATTAATTGTGAAAGACATACTGGAAGAAAACATTCCAGGTATCATAAAAAAATGAAGTACATTTAAGAAGCTCAATGAATCTCAAAGATATTAGAGCCCAAAAGAAAATAAAAGATATCATAGATATCAAAGATAAAGAGAGATAAATTTACTATAATCAGCACAAGAAAACCAAGAGTCTCCTACAAAGGAGAGCCAATTAGATTAAGTTCTTATTTCTCAACCAAACCATACAAGCAAGAAGCCAATAAAATAGTATATACAGAAGGCTGAAAGAAAAGAAATGCCAGCCAAGGATCTTGTACCTAGCAAAAACTATTCATCAAATATAAGGGAGAAATAAGGTCAGATGCAGAAAAGAAGGAATTTCAGAAATTTGTGAAAACAAGACCAATTCTACAAGAAATTCCAAGGGAAGTCCTTCACACAGAGACACTATGTGAAAGTGGATGGACCATAATAATTAGCAACAATAGAAAAAGATACACAGCGAAAAGGCAATGATGAAATCTAGTTTGTCGATAATCACACTTAATGTGAATGGTTTAATAGCTCCAATTCAGAGAATAAAGAGTAACAGAATGGATTAAAAAGAAAAAGCTCATAAGATGAAGAAAAAGACTAGAAATGAGGAAAAATCAAAGGTTGGAGAAAAAAAATAATACCAAGAAGTTGACATCCACAAAAGCAGGAGTGGCAATACTAATCTGTGATAAAATATACTTCAGAATGGAAACCACCAAAAAAGATAAGGAAGGTCAGTAGATAATGATTAAAGTCACAATAGATCAAGAAGATATTACTTTGGTCATTATCTATACACCAAATAGCAGACCTTCAAAATGCTTAAAACAATTGACAGACTTGAAAAAATAGACAGTACTACAATAGTAGCAAGAGATTTTAATCCAAGACTGTCAGCAAAAGTAGGTCAATACAGACGAAGGAAATTATTCAATTGTGCAACCTGACCTACTAGTTGTATACAAGATACTTCACCCAAATAAAATTCAATTTACTTTCTTCTCAAGTGCACATTTTATTCTCCAGAATTGATAGTATATTCAGACACAAAGCCACAACAAATTAAAAAAAAAAAAACAAAAACCCACACACACACCACTCAAACTTTGAAATAATACAAAGAATCTTCTCAGACCCTCATGCCATAAAACTAGAAACTAACAAGAGGATAATGGATTTAAAAAACCAAATGGAAGCTAAAGAATACCCTGTCTGAGTACTACTGTGTTTGTGTTACAGAAGAAATCAAAAGTGAAAAAAATTTCTCAAAACAAATATAAAGGAAAATAAAACATATCAAAATTTCTACTTTCAATGATTGGTATTTGACAAGGAATGAAAACCTATCAAATAGGAAAATAATAACCTCTTCAACAAATGGTGCTGGAAAAACTGGATATCTGTTTGCAGAAAACAGAAACAGGATTCACATCTCACACCATATATAAAAATGAACTCATGGTGGATCAGAAACCCTGGTGTAAAACCCCAAACTATGAGGATCATAAGAGACAAAATGGGACTAATCTTAGAAGCCCTGGCCTATGGCATAAATAAGCTAAAAAACAGCCAGAAATGCACAATGAGGAAAGGATAAAATCAATGGATGATACTTTCTAAAAATTAAGTACCTGTAGGCTGGGGGAAAATACCCCAAATATTTGGTGGTGATGTCTCAGACAAAAGTTTCATAACAAAATTTACAGAATACTACAGGGGCTCCACAAGAAAAAGAATAACCCAATAACAAAATGGGCAAAAGACATGACAAGACTTTTCACAAAGGAAAGCATTTGGATGGCTAACAGACACATGAAGAAATGCTCAAAATCACCAGCAATCACAGAGATGCATATCAAAACTGCATATCTCACCTTAATAGCAGTAGCAAAGTTTAAAGTATAGCAAGCAAGAAATGTTGAAGAGGATGTGGAGAGATTAGAACTCTCACGCACTGTTTCTGGGATAGTAAAATGGTACAACTAACCTGGAAGGCAGTTTGGCATTTCCTCTAAATGCTGAACATAGAAATCCCATATGACCTAGCTATGGAATAAACCCCAAGGAAATCAGAACTGAGACATGAAGAGATATGTACACCTATGTTTATTGCTGCATTATTCACAATAGCAAAAAAAAAAAACAGAAACAGCCCAAATGCTCATCAACAAACAAATGGATTGAGAAATTATAGTATATGCACAAGATAGAATAATATGCAACACTAAGGAACAATGAATTCATAAAATACTATTAAACATGGGTGAGTCTAGAGAGCATTATGCTGAGTGAAATAACTCAGTCTCATAAGAGAAAACACTGCATATGGATATTATTGTAAAAATAGAACAATAATTTTGTTAGATGAGTATACTTGTACTAAAGGGATAGGGAAAAGGAGATGAAAAAATGGGAAGAGTATAAATCAGGAGAGTTTAGTGGGCAGATTAGAGTTGAAAAATTAGGAAAGTTTCGATGAAGACTTGAAAAGGGGATAATAATTGGCATAGATCAATAGTAATTACATGAATAATTGTGTGAAACAATGTAAATGCAGTACTATACATATAAATGTAAATCAAAGATGATATAAAACACAGTGAACATGAATGAACACACTTTGTTCATCAGTGTAGGCAAACCAATAACAAAAAGAGAGTTCCTACAAATACAAGCAATATCTTTAAAACAATACACGGTAAAAAGACTAACTTGATTATTTCTAAAAGTTTCAAGTGAATGAAGACTTTTACAAAATGACACATTGTACTATATTAAATATTTAAACTAGTTGGAGTTTGCAATGTTATAAAATTTGAAACCCTGAGAAAATTATTCCATTAAGGATCTAATTTTAAGGGAAATTGACTTTTTAATAGGAAACTGCTCTTAATGCATAGAGCCACAATTTAACTGATTTATTTCTTATCTTAATAGTTGATCTTATTACAAACTTGAGATCATAAAATTATCTATGAGACTGAGAAGATCCTGGTGCTTAATTCCATATAAACACACATTAAGACTATTACCTACTCCTGAAAATCCACAAATTTTAAAAAAAAAAAAACCCACCACACTACAGTAAGAAACCGATGTTATTTATAGAGTGAACAAAAGTTTTAATCAGAATCTTCACTACTGAAGTAAGAGCTGTCACAATATTCAGCCGTGTACAGAAATTTATGAATGATTGGGTTCATCTTCGGAATCCAGTGTCGTGGAACCAGATATGTTGAAAGGTTGAAGAGGTCTACAAATACCTTGTACCTGTCACTGGGAAAACACATATATACAAATATAAATATGTCATTCATATTTAAACATTTATAACTAACATTTTCATGTCTAAAATGATGAATATTTGCCACAAATGGCTATTAGTAAATATTATATAAATTTGTATAAGTTTGTGTGTATATGTGCATCTATATCTCTCCATCTGTCTAACCAAAATTGAACCAAGTCCTTTGTCTTTTTGCCAAGATAATTATGATTTTTGGTGATCTTCCATTGGATTTCTGAGGCTACAGATCTTTACAGAGGACTGCTTACCTTGATCCTGCAGAGTGGCTGATAGATTTAAACCAATGACATTTTGGTGAGCTGTCAAACACATTACACACTACACCATCAGATGGTTACATTATCATCTAACCAATTGTTGGCAGTTCCAATCCACTCAGTGGTGGCATAAAAGAGAGAACTGGAGGTCTGCTTCCATAAAGATTACAGCCAGGGAAATGCAATGAGGCAGTTCTGCTACATGGGCTTTTATGAATCGAAATCAACCTGACAGTTCCCAAAAAACATATTCATGTTAAGATTGCCTAGTTTTTAATCCATCATCAAAGTTCATGCCTATAAAATGGTACTGTGTGTTCACTTGATGCAGACCAGGCTCATCTGGTTTAGAACCTAGAATTGTATTATTGTTCCTACTGTTTTTGTAAGGGTAAGTTTATATTCTCATTTTCTACTCTTAAAAGATAGTGTGCACATTAATAAATGTTAGACACATAGAATTCTTAGTTATTCACTGGAGAATATTTCCCAGCTACAAAGTGGCTGCTGACACGTAGATACGTTGATGGACTAGCTCATTAAAATAGCATCTTAAATTTATTATGCATAGCTGCAAAAGTAGCTTTAACTAAAAATGGCTTTTGTGATTGATAATCTAACAGTGCTGTGATAATATACTTAAAGAAAATTATTATTTAAGGCAAATAAATCTGGGTTCAGATTTTGGTTCCACCATATAAAATCTTTGCAATTTAGAATTTTTTTAAAAAAACTCTCAGTGCCTTCGTTTTCTTACTTGTAAATGAAAAATTTCTGGACATTTAAGAAGGTTAAGTGAGCACAGAACACACTGAAAATAATGAGTTTATGCTAACTTTTCCCACCACCATTCTTACTATATGCATTTATTTTGTATAATCACTGACTATTTCTAATGTACAGAGTTATCTCCCCAGAGAAAGGAAAATTATCCAAACGTAGTGAAAATTCAAACCATTCAAAGTATTTTAAAATTAAATTTACAGTTGATTCTCAGAAGTTAAAATATATTTAAAAAATGATGCCGACCATAGTTGTTAATAAATCACCCGATCTCTTTGTAAACCAAGATGACAGTTATTTAAGGAATTTGAGGGGTGTAATTTAGTCTTGAGTTGATTATGTTTTCCCAAGAGGACATGTAATTTTTCTTCTTATACATCCAGATATGTCTCTCTACCTATATTTCTTTTCTCTATCATATTGTGGAGTTCTGGTGGTATAATCATCCATAGAGAGTTGTGTTGCTAGCCTAAATGTCATGCCTTTCATGTGTTTCAAATCCAACATCGATCTATTATCTGTTTAACAGTGGCTCTTTGGGAGAAGCCTAAACAAGCTCCTCTCCTGTGATTTGTTGTTGTTAGGTGCCCTCAAGTCAAGCATGACTCATAGCCACCTAGGTACAACAGAGATGAACTTGAGTCACTGTGTCGATCCATCTTATTGAGGTCTTCCTTTCTTTCACTGACCTTTCCATGCATGATGTCCCTTTCCAAGGATAATCTCTACTACAACAAAGTACGTAAGATGAAACTTCATCATTCTTAGCTCTAAGGAGTACTCTAGCTGTACATTCTCCAAGATATAGCTGTTCATTCTTTTGATAGTCTATGGAATATTCCTTATTTTTGTCCAACACCACAACTCAAAGTCATCATTTCTTCTTCTGTCATCCTTATTCATACTGAGTTCTCAGATACATAACAAGTGATTGAAAAGGTCATGGTCTAAATCAGCTTAGTTTTCAAGCTGACTTCATTTCTTATCAGTGTTTCGAAGAGGTCCCTGGAAGCATGCTTGCCAATGCAATATGCCTCTTGATCTCCTGCCTACTGCTACCGATGGTGTTAATTGTCAGTCCAAGTGAGATGAAATATTTGACAATTTCAATCCCACTCTATTCATCATGGTGTTGTCTATTGGCCAAGTGGTGAGGTCCTTTGTTGTCTTAATGTTGAGATGTAATCCAAATTGAAGAATGACGTCCTTGACCTTCTGCAGCAAAAGTTGCAAGTCTTTCTCACTTTCAGCAATCAAGGTTGGGTCATGCACATACATAACACCGTTTGTTGATGAGTCGTCTTATCCTGATGCCACATTCATCTTAAAGGTGTCTAGCTTCACAAATTATTTGCTCAGTATACAGATTGAATACATATGAAGAAAAAATATAGCCTTGAGACACATCTTTTTTTTATTTACAGTGTTCCCATGCTCCATTTGGACCACAGGTGTTTGTTTGTTTGTTTGTCTAGGAATAGATTTCATATGAGCACAATTAAGTATTCTGAGTTTCTCATTTTTCTCAATGACAGCCAGTGTTATGTGATCCACAAAGTCAAATGCCTTTGCACAGTCAATAAAACACTGATAGGCATCCTACGGTATTGTCTGCTTTCATCTGGATCCATCTGACATCAGTACCATGGTACCATGGCTTCTTCTAAACCCTGCTTGAACATCTAACAGTTTCCTATAAATGCACTGTTCTAACCATTTTTAGATAGTCTTCAACAATACTTTATTTGCACGTGATACTGATGATAGTCTTCAATAAATTCCACCTTCCCACCTTTCTTGGGAATGAGAACCAAAGTTGATCTCTTCAAGTCAGTCATCCAGGTAGCTGTCCTCTAAATTATCTATCATAGACAGATGAACATGTCCAGCTTAGCATTGTGTTAGTTGAAACATGGCAATTGGTATCCCATTGATCACAGGAGCCTTACTTTTTGCCAATGCCTTTAAAGTAGCTTGAACTTCTTTCTTTATCAATAGTTCTTGATCATATGGTACTTCCTGAAATTTTTCAGTGTCAACTATTTCTTTTTGGTACAATGGATTTGTGTATTATTTCCATCTTCTTTTAATGATTCCTGGATCACTCAAGATCTTGTCTATAGCATCTTACAGTATTGTAACTTGAGGCTTAATTTTTTTTTTCATTTCTTTCAGCTTGAGAAACACCAGGAGATACCTTTTTGTTTTAGTCTCTGACTCCAGATCTTTGCACAGTTCATTATAATATTTTATTTTGTCTTTTCGAGCTGCCCTTTGAAATTGTCTGTTCATCTATTTTACTTCAGTACTTCTCCCTTTGTTTTGGCTTCTTGATGCTCCAAAGTAACTTTTTAGTTTCTTCTGACATCAATTTTGGATTTTTCTTTCTCTTTTGTCTTTGTAATTATCTTTTTTGCTCTCTTCATAGATGATAATCTCAATTTCTTCTCACTCTTCCCCTCATCTTCAGTCATATTCAATGTCTCGACTCTGTTCTTAAGATAAATTTTAAATTCAGGTGGGATGGGCTCAGAATTTTGTTTCTTGTGAACTTTTCATTTACTTCAACTTAAATCTGAGCTTGCAGAAGAGTAATGAAAACCAGCTAAAGGTCAGCTATAAGTCAACTCTAACTCAATGGCAATGGATATGTTGAGATAATAGTGGAAAATAAACCAGCAAACAAACAAAAAAGAATGTAATGAATGTAAAAGACTTAGAAAAATATCTAGCATGTTTTTCAGGAGCAAATATTTTGTAAATCACTACCTAACGTGGGAGGGACTGGAGATCGTTATGCTGAGGGAACTGACTCAGTCCCATAAGGACAAATACTTTATGGGAACATTATTGTAGAACACTGTAGGGTGGGAGCAGAGGGGTGAGGATGGCCTGGGGTCAGGGTGGGATAATAATAGGGTCACTCAATTTGATGGGTGGAGGGGTAAAGAAAATGGAAAAGATTCAGTATGAAAAACAATGTATGCTAACTTTGTAGGTAAACCAGTATAAAAGAAAAATTTTATTTTTTAAAAAAAGTAAAAGAAAATGCACGGGAAAGATCAAAAAAGGCAATTTTTTTCCCTAGCATGCTTTAAGTACTCAATAAATGTTGACCCTGTTTTCTAAACAGGAGTCCTGATAGAACATTTATTTAAACACCTGGCTGCCAATACCTGGTTATCAATGACTCATACCCACCAGTGTACTATGAGAAAAACATGTAAACGTCTGCTTCTGTAAAGATTTACAATCCTGAAAGCCTTTTGGCACATTCTATCCCATTTTATATGGAAGTGACATTATTGTGTGTGACAGTAAAATCTGGTTGAATTCTTCAGTCAAAATTAATAGATTTCTACCGGGATGTAAACAATCTTTAATGCTTTCATTTCCTCACAGGTGGTTCAATCACTGTTTCCATGTTCCTTTGCAATAACTTAAGTAATTATTGTAATTTCATGTTCCTTTACAATAATTTAAGTAATTAATGATTTTATAGAATACATTCCAAAAGTTTTTAAGAAATAATACAATGACTTGTTATTGAGGCAGCTTCAACTTGAAGGGACCACATGTATGTTGGAACTATGATTCATACATTTTTAATGGCTGATTTTTGAATGTACATTATCAGACCCTCCTGTCATGGTACCTCTGGGTAGCTTTGAACTCCCAATATTCTGGTTAGTAATGTAGCATATTGACCATTTATTTATACTAATCAAGAACTCGACATCTCAATTTAACTACAAATATGTAGTCAGAAGTTCCTACTGGAGCAAATAGAAATGTCTTTTCCTAGACAATGACATAGGAAACAAAGGATCCATGACCCCCACTGAGATGAAAAGGAGGCTTTCCCTTTTCTTACCTCACAGTGGAGCGCAGATACTGGTAGCCTGAGGACCCACCAGTGCCAGCCTTGCTGCCAAGCATTCTGTGCACCATGCACACATGGTTATCTAGGCAAACACACAAATTACTCCATGGATAGTTGTCCACCATTAGTTCTACAATGTTCTAAAAGCAAGAGGCTAATAATGATTATTGCTTCCAAGTAAAGGCTGCCACGTTATCAGGTAGCCATATGGAAGTTCATGTGTAAGAGCCCGATGGGACCGTTAGGTTGCCTGGCACCCCATTTGGTTCAAGCTACCTGCATTTCACTCCATTCAAAGTACATTTAGCTGGTGAACACAACCAGGGAGAGAAGGGTCTCCTGATGACTTGCCTGAGCCTTCATATTTTGCTTAGTGATCCCTTCTTTCAATTAGGAAAAAAAAAAAACCAAACAGAAAAAAGCCAAACTCTATTAATTTTAATCTTATAATTGTATTAATATACATGAAATTATTTTCTTTGGATGAAGTTATTTTCTTTCTTTTGATTTAAAATAAAACCATTAATGAAGCCTCAAAAGTACTGTGAAAGTAGGCACAGGGCATACTACTGTGCTTTCCAGGTTAGTTTCTCCTGGGACCATTAGCCTCATTAAAAGAAGAAAGATGTGGGCAGGGAAGGGAGCTCAACCAGGCACAGGAGAGGGAGGAATGAAGAGAAAGAGAAGGAACAAACAGAGGAAGTAAAGGGAAAGAAGAAGGTGGTAGGCTAAGGAGGGCAGGTGAGGGAGGGTAGGACTCACATCTCCATTTGGTCATGAGTGTGTCTATGTCCATAAGAGAAGTCAGCAACTGAAAAGGGACCTGGAATCTAGGTTCCTCCCTAAAGAGGGGAGAGGAGGAGAATTTAAAAACAAAGAAACCCTCTTCAAGTAAATGCAATGTGTTAGAGTTTGAGTTCTACAGTATATCACATCTTGAAGCAGATGTCAGCACTGCTTCTTAGGTGCTGCGTAGCTATGGGTTACGCTATCTCAGTTTCTTCATCTCAAAAATTGACAATCAGTTTGTAACATTTATGTGGAAAATCTATGGAATTCTTTGTTATACACATAATGTAAATAGTCAGAACCACTGACAGCATAAATCACTACAAAGGTAGAATTTAATAAAAAGGACACCTTATTAATTTGTATGCTTTTTATCCAATATAAGTACCATTTTTGCCATTTACTAGTTAAAGAAAAGCTCATGACATCTAATTAGATCTTTTCTTGTAAAATTAAATCACTATAATGATCTATTGTTATAGTTTGTGAATTTCGTACTTGTGTTATATGTCTGCCTTTCAATTTCAAACATCTTTTGCTTTGCATTTACCTGTAAAAATAGATCATCAAAGCCCCCTGAAGTGCTCGGTATGACAGCCGCCTTTCCCCTGCAAAATACATAATGAGCTTTAACATAATAGGCAATTTAATACAATCTTAGGTTAATTTTGATGGCATCATTACCACAAGTTATTAAAAGTTTATATTATTTTAGAAAACAGTTTTATTTAAAATTTTTATTGCTCAACTTATATTTGTATATCTATCATTTATAATTTTACCTTAATATTACATTTTAAAAACAAACTATATCTCGCTATCTATTTTATGTTATCAGATAAATATAATATTATCTTAGGAAAATATGATGTAGAATAACATCATCAACAAGATTTATTTGAAGTAATTTTCTCTAACTCAGGAGAGACTGCTTAATTGCCTTCAAGGTGTATAAATAATATCTAAAATCTCTTGTGAGCTCTTATAAAAAACTTTATACCTAAAGTAGAAAAAAAGTAACAGCTTGTTATTCCTTGTTGTGATTTTTTTGTTTGATTTTTAGAAATGAAAGACTAATAAATAAGTTTGAGATTTACAAACATTATACTAGTTTGATGGATTATTATATCATACATGCACCTGGTACTATAAAATTTGTTGTATATCTATATTGATTAATTTTAAAAAGATTGTTCAGTAATTTAAAATGCAACCTCCGAATAAGATAAAAAATTTAAAAAGTAGGCAAAATAAAATAATTTATGAAAGCATTGGTTTTATAGAGAAAATCGTCTCATCTTAGCAATAATAGTTGTAAGTAAACAGTTTGAGCACATTTACATATCAAGAGTACCAGGAAGAAAAGTCCCTGTAATCTACTTCGCTAAGATCGTAGCAAAAAAACCCCATGAGACAGTTTTATTTATGGAGCACATGGAATCACCATGAATTGGAATAGTCAGGGACCTCTCCAGAGTGTTGAGGAGCAACGATGTCAGTCTAGAGACTAAAGTGCCTTTGATCCAGGCCATGGTCTTCACAATTATTTGCTATGCATCAGAGAGCTGGACAATGATCAAGGGTGACAGAAGAAGAATGGATCCCATTGAGTTGTGCTGGAGAAAAAGTCTTGAACATACTATGGACCACCGAGAAAACAAATAAATCTGTCTTGGAGAACCAAGTTCTCCTTAGAGGCTAGGATTTTGAAGCTCTGTCTAATATACTTTGGATAAGTGGCCAGAAGGGACTGATACTTGGAAAATGGCATCATGCTCTGAAGGGTGGAAGGACAGAGCAGGAGAGCAAGATGCCAGATAAGATGGATTGATGCAGTAACTAGGGCAATGGTGGTAGGTGTGTCGGAGTCAGTGAGACTGGCTCAGGACAGGGCAGGCTTCAAAGCTGCTGTACATAGGGTCACTATGAGTCCCTGGTGACTCAATTACATATAACAAAAATAACAGCAGCAATTAACAATAATGGCAATGTCAGTTATGCCAAAAATTTCCCGATCTGCTTAGGAAAATTACTTCCTCTGAAAATATAACCTTGTACTTATAGTAGAGTTACTCCTATTCTCTTCTAACTCAACTATAGAGGAAAGTTTAAATTGCAAACATTAACTTTCATTTCTATCTCTATCATGTCATACATTATTTGAAGAAGTGGAATTACTTTATCCTAGTATTTTTTGAGGGGGATTAAAAATCTTTTAATGTTTCACATTTTTTATCTTGGTATTCTTGATATGTAAAAGAAACTATTTTAAAAAGGTTTATTGATATGTTTAAAATAAAAAGAGCATGTGAACCTAATAAAAATTTCTCATAATAGTATTCCTGTTCCTATTTATTTTATGTAAATTTGCATTCTATTTCCCCAAATAATGTTTGAAAAGTCAAAGAAATAAAATTATTCCACTGCCATTAGCCAATCTCAACTCTTGATTTAGAAAAAAATTGTTATTTTAATGAAGGTTTACAGAGAAGTTGGATTTTCATTCATTCATAGATGCAGATTCCTCCCTAACCCTTACTCCAGTTCACTTTGCAATGCATCTCTCGTTCCAGATTTCTGTCCTACATATACTGTCTAATCATACAATCCTTTCAGACAGTTCTTCCTCTCATCTGTTCCAATGCAATGTTCATAAAAATGGATATATAATGAAGGATCCCAACTCTATACAATTATATTCTAAGCTCACATTTTAAATTCCATTGGAAGAATTCTTACAATGAAACATTTACCTTTACTGAGGAGATGTTCGTGGCGTTTCTCATCAAATAAAGATAGTAACACTTCTTTTTGTTTCTGAAATTCAGCCATTTGTTCTTCTTTTTCCTCTGATTCTTCCCTAGCCTGTGGATAAAATCCTGCATTAAATTCTCCAAAGAAACAATCATTTCTGAATTAGACTATTTTGTTAAAGACACTTGAATATCCAGGAACAAAAGCGGATGATATATTCAGAATCTTTACCACAATATCAAGTATTAAAAGTTGTAACTTGTGGAAAGGCATGTCTCACACATTCCCTCTTTCTATCCTACTATTTAAGTTTAAATGATTCATTAACTTCAAATATTGCTTTTAAAAATGTCATGAGATCAAATGAATAAAATTAGAGATAATCATAATTTGTGTGAGCAAATTTTAGGAAGGAATTACTTATCCAAAACGGTAAAGTAATTCCACGTAGGGAAAGTTAAGGATCCTTAATCAGAAAAACTAAATCTATTGAATTTCTGTATTATATATTATATTCTGTGATTACAATTTCTTAGACAGTTTTCACCTCTTTAAAAAATACTTGATAACCATTTATATCTATTTATTAAAATTCTTTTTTAATTAGTTAAAAATTAGTCTAGCTGAAGAAAATTGGTTAATCCAACTCATTAAAATTATCACACTGTGTAACGTTCTTGTCAGTTAATTGTTCTTCTATTTGTAAATATTTCATGTATGTCCATTGTATTTTGCTTTTATAGGTGACAGAGATACAATTCTGAACAAAACATAAATCCCTTAGACTCACACAGTTTATCATCTAGCTGGAATAAATTGCTCATCAAATAATCAAATCCTGCAAGAATTGATTATATTGTAATCACAGACATTTATAATGAAGTTATATAATTTATACTAGTAAGAAGGCAAAAAAGACTTCTTGAAAATTAGTTTCTTAAGATCTGAGTATAAGAAGACATTACTTATAAAAGCGTGTTTAAAGTCCCAACGAGTAACACATATAAAGAACTTTCTGGTGAGTGAAAACATGGTAAATTCAAGAACAAATGCTGTTTACTGAAACAACTTCAGTGTGATTTGACCATGTGAGAACATAAGAAGTCTTGCAGTCCATCAGGAAATTTGCATCTCAAAAAGATTATTTGGAAATTATATGAAGAATAAATTGAAATAACGCCATGTTAGAAAGAAAGGTAGTTCACAGGTTACTACTACTACTACTTCAGTTGAGATGAAAATCAATGGTAGTTTAGGATGAATGGTACTGTTAGTTTAAAAGGAGATTGTTGTTGGGATTCATCAAGTTGGTTCCTATTCATACTGACCCTTGTGAGCTCTGGCAGTCTGGCTGCAACAAGCTGTGCTGCCAACCTGAAAGCATGTGCTTCAAACCCACCAGCTTCTCCACAGGAGAAAAAATGGGCAGTCTTTTCTCCTGCAATTTATGGCCTCTAAAAACCCACTTGAGTGTCAGCTATTACTCATTGCAACTCACTAGCACATAACAACAACAGCAACATACTGACTCTATGAATGAAATACCATCTCATTCTACACCATCCACATAATCAGTGATGTTTCAATCTGTTATTGTAGCTATCGTGTCAAGAATATATTTGAGAAGCACTTAGAATGCAGAATTGATTGAATTTGATAATAGTTTGAATAAGTGATTGAGGAAGAAGCAGGCGCCAAGGAACCCTCATAGATGACTACACTGATAAATGAGAGGATTTGTAGGAGACAAACTTCACAAAATTGTAGAAGACCAACTTGGTATGAGAGTGGATAGAGGGTATGTTTTCAAAAGTCTGGGTTTTGCCAGTGTGTGCTTGAGAGGACCAAGAGGAGGATTATGTTTTGAAATTTAAGAAGGTGCCCGAACCAGAATGAAATATTTGAGAATTATCAAGTGAAGTAGCTACAGATGTAGGGTTATACTACAATCAATACTCCAGACAACACTGTTATGTATCACAGAGTCAAAACTGATCCATAGCTGACTCTCTGATTAGCAGTCAGGAAATCAAAACACAAATTGCACCAGGAAAATGTGCTGTCAGGAACCTGTCCAGAATGCTAAGACCAATGATGTAAATCTGGACTAAGGTGTGCCTGATCGAGGCCATGTCTTTGCAATTACTTGCTATGCATCAGAGAGTTGGACAATGACTAAAGACGACAGAATGAGGAGCAATGCCTTTGGGCTGTGATGCTAGAGAAGAGTGGTGAACATTCCGTGGACTGCAAAAAGAAAAAACAAGTTTGTCGTGGAGAGGGTGAAACCAAGTTATTCCTTAGAGGGAAGGATTTTGAAGCTGTTTCACATACTATGGGTACGTGGCCAGGAGGGATGAGTCCTTAGAGAAGGATATCATGCTTTTAAGGGTAGAGTGACAGCACAAGAGACAAAGACCCTGGATGAGACACAGTAACTGAGATAATGGGGTTAAGTGTATTGGAGACAGTGAGAATGGCTCAGGATAGGGCAGGATTCAGAGCAATAGCACAATAGAGCTTAGGGTAGCCATGAGTCACAGGTGACTTGACAGCACATAACAACAAAACGAGTGAAAGAGAATAGAAAAGGCATAAGCACAAACATTTCCAAGACTCCCTTCTACCTATTTGTTAGACTAAAAATGAAGTAGAAGATTTAGATAGAAGGCATATCATATTAACAAATCAAGGGAAAACATGTTTTGTAAAGAGTAAATAGGCATTACCACTGAGTGCTACTGAGAAGCAAACTAAAGCAATGATAGGGATTAGACATGTAGTCTATGAATTTATATAGATGAGAGTCATTTGTGAAAGCAGATTGACTGGACTGAGGTGCTGTTTTGTCAAGTACAACTCATAGAAACCATATGCTCTACCATAGAGTCCTATGCTGTGCAGATCTCACAATCTTGGACATAATCTAGCACATTGCTGCAGTCTATGTGTCAATCCACCTGGTTGATGGTCTTCTCCTCCACATCCCTCCACCTTTCCAACATGATGTCCTCCAAGGAATAGCCTCTCCTAGCAACATGCCCAAAGTATGTGAGACCAGACATTGCTATCTTTGCCTCCAAGGAGCTCTCTGGCTTTGCCCTCTCCAAGACATTTTTGATTGTTCTTTAGGAAGTCCATGAATATTCAGTACTCTTCTCCAAAAGCACAACTTAAAGGCATCAGTTTTTCTTCCGTCATGCTTATTCACTGTCCAGCTCTCAGACTCATAGCAAGAAATTGAGAAGATCATGGTCTGGATCAGACTAATGTCATTGCTACTCAGTATTTCAGAGAGGACTCTGGCTGCAGACTTTCCCAATGCATTATGTTTCTTGATCTCCTGACTGCTAGTACTGTTGTTGTTATATGCCATCGAGT